TGAAGGCCCAGAAGGGTCCAGTGCCTCTCCAGGGCACCAAGCAAATCTGTGGCAAATGAGGCGACGATGCCCTGCCTTCTGGGTGTGGCCCCATCATCCCAGAGGTGGCTTTGCACTCTCCTCTCCCGGCCTCCCAACCCCTGCCACTCACTCTGGCTGGGAGGTGGTTCTACTGCGGTGGAACAGCACGAGGGTACCCAGGACCATGCCCACATTGGTCCTGCCCACACCTGACTGGCAGCTGAACAGGAGAGCAGGGGGAGGCCCGTGGTTATCTCGGAGCCGCAGAAGGCCGGGGGTCTCCTGCAGGAGGGAACGTGAACGACCGTCAGGCAAGTGTATGATGGGAAAACCCTGAGGCTGAGGCCCCAGTCAGGCTCATGACATCCGCAGCAAGCCAGGGTTAGAAAAGTAGCGCAGCCTCTGATGTCAAGTCTGCGGCCAGATCTGATCCATCTGCTCCCAGGGCCTCAGGTCCTGCCCCTGCCCAGCCTCAGGGGAACTCAGAGAACAGGCCAGGAATCTCATGGGGTCTGAAATAGGAGCTACTCTCAGGGTCCCAGGCCCTACGTTGACCTGACGCCCTTCCCCATGTAATACAAATGTCCCAAAATGGGATGGGACAGAAAGCGCCCCCCCCCATGCCCAGTAAATCAGCAAATAAGCCTGTGGGACAAGAATCTCGAGCTTGACTGAAAAAGGGAAGAAGGAGGTCTAGACAGGAGGGAAGGTCTCCCGCACCACACAGCGAGTGCGCAGCCAAGCCATGGCTAGAACCAGGTCCTCCAGGCATCAGTTTTGGACTCTGGTATTAGAGAATTGCGGCATGTGTACTCAGGTGCACGTGTGCACACAGACACAAGTACACACACTGCAGAAGGATGCATCTATGCACACGTAAGGACACAGACGCCACCCCACACCCCAACATATTGGACCCTATATACATCATAGATCGAACCTTCCACAGAGATAGCCAGAGGTCACACTCACCCTGAGCATCTCCATGGAGACCAATGAGGGACACCTGTTCCTACTTACCACTCCCAGAAGTCCCTCCCCTCAGTCCCACTTACCCGGAGGACACTGACAAAGGCATCGAACTGGGCTTCCAGGGGGGCCCCTTGCTCTGGCAGGGGAAGACGATGATATCTGCCGGAAGAGAACAGCCCATGAGCCGGGCAATGACCTTGGGGAGCAGCTCAAGCCGTCATCCCCCAAGCACAGGCCTGATGTGCAGATGGGAAAACTGAGGTAGCAGCTGGAGAGCCAGCCCAGAGAGGACATCAGCTCCGGATACCTGTAGGTAGGCTGCAGGAACAGCGGCCGCTTATACACTTCCTCGGTCACGTGCACATCATCCTCACCTCGGATGGTCACGGTGTGCGGTTCCCCACGCAGGTCCTCTGTGTTGTGGTACACATGGTACATGTTCTCTCTCAGCTGGGCGAAGTCGTGGATCTAGAGTGAGATGCAAGAATCAGAGGGATATGGCCTGAGCTTCCTAGGCCTCCTTGATTGCCCCTGCCAGGTCTGGGGACCAGGCCACATGGAGGTTACACATAGGCTTCTTGTCCTTCAAGAGGGAGCCACGTGGCCAGAGGCACTCTGCCCTGCCTACAGGGATCAGGCCTGAGGGCAGCCAGACCTGCGTGGACTGATCATGACCACCATGGAGGTCAGTTGGAGGGCTCTGCCCACGGAGCAGTGGAAATGCGCTTAGCTACCTGGCCAGGATGAGGCTCAGTCAGCTGAAGCAGAAGTAAGAGAGGCAAGGAGAGGCTAGTCCCAGCAAGGCCTGGACTTCCTCATATCCATCTCTCTCTAAAGCACGGTGACCCCTACATTCCTCTCATACACCTCTCTGGTGTGTCAATCATCTCAGAGCCCCACACCAAGACTCGGTTGGGAGAGAAGAGGTGGCCCTGGAATCTCGGAGACAGGCCCAGCAAGCGACTCCATAGAGCCGCACATGACCGGTGAGTAGCCCAACTTCAGCTTTGGGCCTCCTACCCTAGATCTCTTCTTACCAGACCAGACCCCTCCCTACACCAGGACTGGGGAGTAAAGGAGGAGCATGGTGAGAGAGGGACAGAAATAGGCCAGCTTGGAACAAGAGGTCAACGGTGCAGCCAGCCACTCACCCAAGCAGGGCACGAAAGCTGGGGAGTGCGGGCCAGCAAAGGCTGAGTGGCTCCCACACCCAGAATGGTTTCAGGGGCATGTCTGGAGAGCAGACTGGAGTCTCCGCTCAGACATCTGAGGCCAGCGAGGGAGAAACGCTCTCAGCACATGGCCACCCCACAGGCCCTCACCTCTTTCCGGATGGCCAGCTCCAGGCTCTCAGCCTTTATCCCCGGCCCAGGACCCCTGAGGTTCTCATGAAGGCTCTCCTTGTCTCGAGGTGTGTAAGACACGAAGTCCTCCTCGGCACGCAAGAACAGCACAGGCTCCTCCCGCACACAGAAGATGATACACTCCTGTTGAGAGAAGCCATTGCCCCTGTGCTGCATGGATCTTAGTCCCCTGTGCAACCTCTAGGCCTTTGCCCAGATAGTTCCTCCCTCATCAGGGGTGGAGCACTAGACCAGTCCCTTCAACAGGAATCCATTCAGTTTATTACTGAAGTTCTGTCTAATTGCCACCTGCCCGCCAATTCCCCTCAATCAGCAGGAACACATTCTCCTCTCAGAGCGACTGTCCTTTCAGTCTCCCAGGCAAGTTCTGCCACATTTTAACCTATCAACACGCCAGCGGGTCTGTCTTTTCTCTCTCGGTGGACTACACATCACCCAGGCCGCATCACATTCTGGCTCTTTCCACAGGCCCACGATACCTAACACAGAGTCCTGGGTAAACCAGTTGTTGGCTAAAGACCAGCTGAAGAAAGGCTAGACCGCTCTCCACCAAGCAGTCAGCCATTGGCTGAGCTACAGCAGAGCCATCGCCAGGGAGCCAGGGTCAAGCTGTAAAGACGGGACCTGTACACACGTACACACACACACACACACACACACCATTCTTATTCACTCTGCCACTCCCCCCTCCTTCAAGCAGGTGAGAGGAAGCATTTGAAAGCAGGTGCTTGGGGTCTAATTGCCCGGGTCTGAGCCTTCAAGCACCGCACAAAAGCTGTGTGACCTTAAACAAGCCACTTTCTCCCTCAGAACCTCAGTTTCCTGCTCTGTAAAATGGGGCCCTTCCTCAGAGAGTTGACAGATTTAGGTGTCAGCCAAGACCATCGCGGCAGTCTCTGGAGTTGGAAAGTGGCTCTCTGATCACCTCTCATTTCCTCCAAGGCTCTCAAGAGGCGTCTGACCTTGGGCACTCCCACCCCCAAAGGACAATGCAATAAACCTCTCCAGTTTCTGCCTGAAGGGCGAGGCCTAGCCCAGGCACATTCCCTTCTCCAGCCCCAAATATGCCACTCCAGAGTCTCAGAAGTTACCTCTTGCCGTCAAGGGCCAGCCTGGGATATAGCAAGCTCACCTTGTGCCCGTCCTTCTGGAGTTTCTGCAGGACCCTCTTGAATCCTAAGAGGCTGGGCTGTCCCATGCCAAACACGGGGAGCCCACCCCGCACCTGCCGGAAGTTGGGAGCCCCACAGCTCCCCAAGGTTCCCAGCATGTCCATCTTCTCGGTGATGTCACGCACCAGGAAATAGCGTCCCTGTCAGAGAGAATCACAGCAAGTCAATCCAGGATGCAAAGGTTTCTCCTCAGGCAGAACTCTCTCGTGGGCTCTAGGGAACAGGACGGGAGGACTGGGGGGTGGGGATGTGGTTCTGCTCTCAAGTTGCTTGCAGGTTCATGGGACAGACATCTGTGATGGCGACGGTAGAAGGCTTCGTATAGAAAGTGCCCTCGGGGTCAGCCAGGCCTTAAGGAAAGCAGATTGGAACTGCAAGCCAAAGCTGGCTCCAAAGAGGGTCTGTAGCTCCCCCCTGGAGGACGACTAGATGCCCCAAGGCTCGTGGAAAGAGGGTCATGTCTGGATTGGGCCAGAAGGTAACTAGGCCAGCTCCCCGCTAGAACCTCACTAATTCACTAGTTGCAAGGACTAGTTACCAGACTTGGGTAAAATGACCCAGTGCCCACAGAAAAAAAGACCAGAATACTGGCTGGTCAAGAGTTCATTCCTAGGCAAACTAGAACGCTAGGTCATCTCCTGTGACCCTTGCCTGACCGACAAGGAGTAAGACCTGTATTCACAGGCAAGCCAGAAACTCCCACAATGATTACGGCACAGCCAGGCAACCACCCAGTATCTAGTCGGTCCTACACCGCTCTCACTGCTGCTCATGGGACAACAGTACCAGACAACAGATTTTAAAACAGCGGGTCTGTGGACTTTTACCCCCATGAGACATGGAAGAGAGGGGAAGGAACAAACAGGAGCTAAACCCAGTAAGTTCAGACACTCTAAATTCTAGAGTGTTTAACTCTTTTAGAGTCTAAAACAGCAGTTCTCAACCTATGGGTGGAGACCCCTTTGGCATGCCTCTATCTCCAAAAATATTTACATTAAGACTCATAACAGTAGCAAAATTACAGTTCTGAAGTAGCAACAAAATCATTATATGGATGGGGGGGGGGTCACCACAACATGAGGAACTGTATTAAAGGGTCACAGCATTAGGAAGGTAGAGAACCACTGGTATAAAAGATGGAGAACACCAGATGGGACAGGGAGGGGGAGTAGGAACTAGAGTTGGGGGCCATGACCCCTGAAGGGAGAGTGGCTACATGAGTGGTAAGAAGAACTGAGGGGCTTCAGGCATGGCTCAGCAGAACTTACTTGCCTAGAACCACCAGTGAGGAACTGCGGGCATGGCTCAGTGGTAGACCGCTTGCCTAGAGTATGAATGCACCTTGAGTTCCAAAGAACTGAGAGACTGAGACAGAGCGAGAGAAGGTGGACACGGAGAAGCAGCAGAGGAGGGGGTAAGTGGCTGGGGTGGGGTAGGTAGGGCTGCCCTCACCTGCACTAGGTAGTGCTCAGGGGTAGCATCTGAGAGCTTGCCCATCCTGTAATGGGCCTTGAGCAGCTCATCGTGGATCTGGAACTCCTCCTTGCAGTTGTACCTGCCAGAGGCACAATGAAAACTGAGACAGACAACCTCTGCTGGTCCCTTACGCTGTCCCCGGAACCCGCAGCAAAGCCATCTCACCCCCACCCATGCAGCTGCCCTTCACCCTCATACAGCACAACTGAGACTGAGACCCAGGGCTACCCCCATTGCAGACTACATTTCCCAGCCTCCCTTGCAGCTAGCTGCGGGACTGGATTAAGCTCTGGCCAATGAGATGCCAGGGGGTGAGGTGGGGAAAATTCAGGCCACTCCCAAAGGGAAATGCCTTCTAGTGTGCCTTGCTTTTTTCCCTGGCAGAAGTAGAACAATTGTCCCAAAAGACAGAGGTACATGCTGATGTGGTAAGACACTGGAGGAGCCCAGATGGTCATAGTCTGCCATACCAGCCTGGACACCCAAATGGGTCTTGATTCGAGTACTCTGTATGGGCAATACTGTTAGGGTACAACCTAAACCCTGATTAAGACATTGCCATTGGATAGCCCACCCCTCAGGCTGCAGTGGAACAGGCCCCACACCTCCAATCCTAGAGCCCAGGGCAGTTCAGCCCACAAGATCTAAGGGCAAGTCCCTCCCCTGGCTGTTTTCAGGTCTTCTGATTCACAGGACCTTATTATCACCCACAATAGGCCTGGACACACACCAGCTGCTTAAAGAAGCCCATAGTGATTTCTGTAGACAGCTAGGTAAAGGCACAATGACTAAGGCAGGGTGACTGTGGACTCAAGACACAAAGCCACGCCGCCAAGGTACCAGTGCCTGAGACTTGACTGCCAGAGCTCAGGCTCTCATGCTAAGGGCTCCATACAAAACAGCTGCCTGCAGGAAAGTAGTGGGAAAATGCGGACCTGGCTCCTGCTCTGCCTCCACCTTGTTAACACTTCACAGTGGCACACCATCTGCCTCCCTGAAACCCATTTTCCTTTCTAACGCAGTTTTCCTATCTATCTGCCATGACCAGGGCTCTGCAAATCTTTCCCACAAAGGACCAAAAACAAACATTTCTGGCTTTGTGGGTCTTGCACCAGCCTGACCATCCTGCCACTGAAGCATTAGGTATCAACAAGTGTTGTACAAGGGAACAGACCTAACAGTGGGCCAATAAAACTTTATTTACATCAGCAGGTGGAGGGCCAGATTTGGTCTGCATGATGCAGTCAGCTGGTGCCTCTACTGGATGATCTGTAAGGTCCTTTCCACCTCAAACACTGCAACCCAAGGAGGGCTGCAAGCACAGCCCCTTCCTGCTAGGCATTTTCAGGTAGTCATAACACAGCCACAACACCCAGTTCCACATTTCCTGTCATCTCTGCTTATGTTGATGAGGAAACTGAGGTACAGAGAAGGAAGAAGGAGGCAGAACCCAGGCTCCAGACGTGCTTCTCCCAAGGCTGCCTTCAATGTCCAAATAGACTTCCTTCCTTCCTTCCTTCCTTTCTCTTCTTCTTCTTCTTCTTCTTCTTCTTCTTCTTCTTCTTCTTCTTCTTCTTCTTCTTCTTCTTCTTCTTCTTCCTCCTCCTCCTCCTCCTCCTCCTCCTCCTCCTTCTTCTTCTCTCTCTCTCTCTCTCTCTCTCTCTCTCTCTCTCTCTCTCCATGGTCTCACTATGTAACTCCGGCTGTCCTGGAATTAACTATGCTGACCAGTCTAGCCTTGAACTTACAGACGCCAACTTGCCTCTGCCTCCACAAGGCTGGGATTAAAGGTGTGCACACCACCACACCACCCAGCAACCCAAACTAATTTTCTTGTCCATCAAGTCACTTTCGCCAGACATTTCTTTCCTGCCTTCATCCCAAACACAATAACTTATGGTAATTACTGCTTTTCTGCCAAGCCCCAGGGCTAGTGGCCTGACCACTCCACCCATGGACTTCTTCACATAGCAGCACATCTCCCAGGCCTCTGCCAAACCCATGTGTGGAACATCTTTAACACTTCGAGCCCCGTGTCCTTCTTCCTGCAATCCAGAAAGGCCCGGATATGAGGAAGCATAATGGACAGGTATCAGGAGAAGAACAACAAAGCTTCTGGTTCCCCAGGAGACACACTCAGGGTCCCTGCATTCTTCTGTCTCCAGCTCCCAGAAGTACCCACTCCTTCATCCACACACAGATATCCATCCTTCCCGGCCCTCCTGGATGCTGTGTGTCCAGGTTGCTGAAAACATGCTAACAACAGCGAACTTCTGCCCCCTCACTCAGTGTTCCTGAAGGCCCCAGCTGGAGCACGGAGAAGGAGCTGCCAGCTTTCCAGCCCAAGGCCCTGAAAAAACCCAGCTACCATGGGGCATCGTGATGCCCACCTTAAATCCCAGCACTCAGGAGACAGAGGCAGGTGGAGCTGTGTGTTCTTAAGGGCAGCCTGGTCTACATGGCAAGTCCTAGGCCAGTTCAGGATATATAGCGAGATTCTGTCTTTAAAAAAAGAGGGGGGGGTATAAAAAGGATGTTCCTAGTCAACTGAGCTAACGGGAGCTCCCCAACTCCAGCCAGACTGGGAAGGAACAAGCATAGGTCCAAACTAGTCCCTCTGAATGCGGTTGACAGTTGCGTGGCTGGGGCAGACAGAGGGGCCACTGGCAATGGCACTAGGATTCATTCCTACTGCATGTACTGGCTTTTTGGGATCCTATATTCTCTTTGGATGAATACCTTGCTCAGTCTAGATATAGTAGGGAGGGCCTTGGAGCTTCACCAAAGCACTGTGCCTTACCCTCTCTGTGGGGGGGGGGGGGGGGGGGGGGGGGGGCTAAGTGGAGGGAATGGGGAAAGGGAGGGAGTAGGAACTTGGATTGGTATGTATAATGAAAAAAGATAGTTTGTTTTCTTTTTTAAAAAATAAATAAAAAAAATAAAAAAGACGTTCCTTTGGCCAGTCTTCCTTGCCCAGGCTTCTGGCACCATACACATAGGTAAGCAACACAGCCTCGGAGACTCACAAAAGACTCAGTCCTACGACCAGCTTTCTGTGTGATTCCCGAAATACTGCTTAACCTCTCTGGGTCAGACTTGGTGTTTTTATTTACAAAACTGGAAGCAGTCTGTAAGCATTAAGTGCATGCAGGTCCCCCACTCCCTAAGGCCATGTCTTCCAGGAACATGACTACACGTCCCCAGATACTCACGTGATCACGACAGGGGCCACCTTATTGGGGATGATGGACTTGGCCTTGCTGTTGTGCAAGCTTGTGGTGTGGAAGGACTGCACACTGAGCGAATGCCTCCCATCCATGGTACTGCTGCCCTGCAGGCCCTCTAAGGAGGAGCCAGCCGAGACTGTCTGCTGGGCTGTGCTTGCCGTTGTACCCATAGTCTGCCGGCGGCCTCAGGACCCCAGATCTGCAGGTAAGAGGGCACACAGCTCAGACGGGCGGGAAACCCAGGAAGAGGCAATCCCTACCATGGCTGCAGACACAGACTCTTGGGGGGACCTGCCTTTATGCCTTCCTCTGCTGACACCATGAGAGAGTTCCACACAGAGAAACGTTAAGGACCAGCTACAGCTACTTAGAGAAAGAGGCTTCTTCCAGGGCCTCCTGGGTCTATCTCTGTCCCCCTGTGTGCTCAGAGGAGGAAAGTGAAGTCAAGCAGAGGAGACAGGAAAGGGGCCTGGGAAACCAAATCAGGACCCCAGAGGGTACAAGGGAGAGCAGGCTACACAGAAGTGCACAGAACTGCTAAGAAGTGCTGGAGAGATGGCTTGGAGGTTGAGAGCACTGGCTGCTCTTCCAGAGGACCCAGGTTCAATTCCCTGAACCCACAGAGCAGCTCACAACTATCTAACTACAATCCCAGGGGACTATATACCCTCTTCTGGCTTCTATAGGCATCATACACACCAGTGGCACACAGACACAAACATGTAGGCTAAATACCCATGTACATAAAAATAAATAAAAAATTTTAAAAAACTAAACATGTTCAGGAAAATAATTAAAAAAAAAAAAGAAGTGCTGAGGACCTACTCAGCTATAGAGCACCTATCACAGGGTGACATGGGGTACACTCAGGAAAGGATAGCTGTCCACAGAGGTGACGGTGGTTCAGGACTGCTAGGCTCAGAGCGTAAGAGATAAATGTGGGCAGAGAGGGCTGGGATGGGAACGAGCTGCCCACGAGTGGCCGCTGCACCAAGGCCGTACTTCACTTCCTCTGTGCCACTGCGCTAAGGTAGACACACAGGAAGTCATTCTACCCATGAGTTTCCTAGAACGAGGCCAGAGACATCCAAACTAGGTGAGCTGCCATCAGATAAAACGCTCAAAGAGAACAGTAGCCACAGAACCCAACATCCGATCAGCATCGTCACCCTGTGGGAGAGGAGGCAGTGCTTCCGCACCCACAGAGAGCCAGGCATCCTGGATTCGAAGGAAACTGGTCTTGCCAGCCTGAGGTTAAAGTTCAAGGCCTACGGATGAAGATCTGGAGTAGCATGAGGCTCAGGATCGGCTGGGAAGAACGAGGCTGGGTGTTCCACAGAGAGCGGCAGACGCGGCAGAGAGGATCATGGAAGTTTGTAGGAACTCCGTGGCCACAGGGACCACATGTGGCACAGGTATTACTATGGGTGGGGGGGGTCCTGGTAGCTCCCCACATCCTTTTACACTTGGGAGATAGCCCAGCATGTAGCCTAAAACATGGTAACTCGCCCAGCTGCAAATCATGGGTACTGTCCGCTCTGACCAAACACTCCTCCTGTACCTCAGCTCCACACCACCCTCTCACCGCTGCAATGGTACCCAACGACGTGAACGGTGGGGTGGTGCGGTCAGCACAAAGGCGGGCAAGTCGGTCCACAGTTTCTAGACCTGACTTAGCGCTCACAGCGCCTACAGACTATCCCTATGCCTCCCAACACTGTAAACAGGGAATCCTTCCCCAGATATCTCTTGTCCTGGAGACTCAGAGAGAAACTGACCATCTCCTCTACCCTTCTTGAGCCTTCTCCAGCTACTCACAGTTCTGATCCCATACAGAGAAGGCCCCCTCTTTTCTTCCGTCTCGGCATCCTTGGAAGCTCCCGAGAGCCTCATGACAGTCCCGGTGACTGCCCCACACCTGTGCTTAAGAGGCCATCTCCCTGGCTCTTGACACACAGCTCAATCCCCCACCCAACAAAGACACAAACAATGAACCTTTATATTCTCACGGAGGAAATCAGGTGGCTCACAAAGCGGGGATGCTCCGTGGACCCCAGCTGATGGGCCACAGGGAGAGAACTCTCTCTCTTCTTCACCGGCCCCTCCAGCTGCCAGGCTCCACACTGAAGTTTCCCAGGCCTCCTCCCAGCAGCCTGGGCCAAAGGAATGTGAGTGGAAACAGCTCCAAGAAAGGAACACATAGGAAAGGAGGGAAGCGGGCACGAATCCATTGCCGGCCACAGCTGCCACAGGCCAAGTCCAGGCCCATTCCCACAGGACAGGCTGCCTCTACCCCTCCTTTGCCTTGGACTCATAGACAATGACAGGCCCCAGCTGGTAGCTTTGCAAGGACAGGCAGCAGATAATGCAGATGTGCACAGCTGGCAGAACAAGCAACTAGGGTGGGTAGCATCCTGTGAAAACTAACTGATCGGACCTTTAGAATGGGTAGACATCCTATTACACAGAGGATCCAGAGGTTGCTAAGGTCGGTGGTACTGATAATCAGACCACTGCTGACGACCAAGGTCAGCATGGCAGCTCTGTGAGTGGACTCCCGAGGCTCATCTTGGAGGTGGAGAATCAGAGGGTGGGCACGAAGCAAATCTGTTGAGGCAGTCCACTAGCACAGGTGGGTAAACAACCTGCTGTATGTCAGGTTCACAAAATACCTGGGGTAATCAACTCACAAAATGGACAGGTTCACTCTGGTCTACAGATCCGGCGGTTTCAGTCAATGATGGGTTGGCACCATTGTTTCTGGGCCAGTGGAGCGGCAGAAGCTCACAGTGGAGGTGCCAACAGGTGGCTTTCCTGACAGCCAGGAATTGGTCATGTTTTACCTGTTTAATCTTGATCTACCAAAGAGATGCTAAACCCCACGGCTCAGTATGAAGTTTACACACACACAAGAACTGCTTAAAGATGAGCAAGAGACATGAGGACGTGAACGCATCCGAACAAGCACACAAGAGGACACCGTTCACTTATCTTCGGTGGCAAATTTTCAAAGCCTAAACAACCAAGGCCCTGGAATTCCCAGGCTCTCACACAGCAGGCCAAGTGAAGTCCTGTGGCTACTTCAAAAAACAGTTCCGTCATTTTGTTTGTTTGATATTTATTTATCTATTGGACAAGGTCTTGTTATGTAGCGCTGGCTGGCCAGGAACTCAGTATGTAGTCTAAGAGAACTCACGGTCATCTCCTACCTCAGCCTTGCCCCGTCAAGTACCAGGATGAAAATCATGAGCCATCACAAGCCTTGATCCTGCAGTTTCAGGCCACGGTAAGCACATGACCACCACATGACTCAACATTCCCACTTAACAGGCTCTCCCAGAGAACAAGGCTGAGGGACGGCTCCTCACAGCCTCAGGACTCACACAGCCAGGGTCTGAGACCACTACTAACGCCCATCAGCTGACGACTGTGGAACCAAATACTGTAGATCTGTGCCATGGGGAAACATTCAGAAGTAGTGACAAAGTGCAAGGCACGTCGCCACAACAGTCACAAACGTCATACAACGAAGAGAAACAAGCATGCCCCAAAGACCAACTTTGGTTACCTCATGGCAGCGCATGACAATCTAGAAAACACAAGGGCAGAATCTTAACGAAGGCAGGGTGTAGGGGCTGGGAGCTCAGTTGGCACCTTTGAGGACAGAGTGGTCCTGGTTTGTCCAGAACAGCACCAGGGCTAGCAGACATCAGCAAAGCAAACTGAGCCATCTTGGTCAGTGAGCACTATGCACCAAGTCCCTTCAACCAGGGGCCAGGGTGGAGGGTGCCCCTCCCATAACACGCTCCCCAAAGTGCTACCCCACAGATGCCCAGCTCCTTCAGGAAAGCTCCCTGACTGCACTCACGCCTCTGTCGCTCAACTCCCACAGCCTCTGCAGAGTGTCACAGAAGTTGCTTCTCACCATTTCAGAGCCAGCCCGCATCTTCCCTGACTCAGGATCAGCTGCCTGCTTCAAAGGAGAAGACCACACTGCTCCCGGAAGGAAGCAGCTCAGAGCAGACATCCATGACTGTCTACCCTGCCGGACTGGCCACTGACATGGATAGCCAAGGTTAGCATCTGGCAACAAGCAGACACAAAACACTGGAGCCTCACTTCAACATCAACAGTGCAAGTCAGGGCTCGGATTTTTCTTTTTACTTGTGCATTGCTGTTAAATTTCCCACACCTAACCTGGTTCCTTTAGGAAATTTTTTTAAGTGTAATTACGTCAAGTATAATTACTGTAAGTGTAATTGCGGTAAGTACTCAAGGCTGGGTACAGGTCATGGTGCCTCCCTACTGCACCAGCTCCTCCAGCTCTAGGTCCAGCCAGGACAGTCACCCTGTGGAAGGCCACTACTACAGCCCTGTGGACTTTCCACTGACCAACAAGGAGGCCTAGAAGGTCCCATACAGAGCAACAATGGAGCAGGCAAAGAGGGGCTCCCCGGAAGACTCAGTTTAGTAGCAGGAGTATCCTGTCTGTCCTGCACCTGGAATCCCCCGCTCGTGTCCCGTAGATGCCCTCCCCTATCTCTTCCTCTTTAAAACTAGGACGGGATCCACTGGAAACTAAATGAAACCTTCCGAGGGTTCCCCTTTACCACCTCCTAACTTGTCTCGTTTTGTTTTTTGTTGGTTTTTTTTTTTTTTATGGTATGTGGAGTTGAACCTAGAGCTTTGTGAAAACTCCAGGTTCCATCCCCAACCCTGTATAAACCAGGTATGCACCCGGGAGTGGTGATGCACACCTTTAATCCCAGCACTTAGGAGGCGGAGGCAGAGGCAGGCAGATCTGACTCTCAACTCCGTGAGTTCGAGACCAGCCTGGCCTACACAGCTAGTTCCAGGATGGCCAAGACTACACAGAGATATTCTGTCTTGAACCACCCCCTCCTCAAAAAAAAAAAAACAGGAATGGTGAGACACACCTGTAACCCCAACATTTGGTCAATGGAGGCAGAAGGATCAAAAGTTCACGGGCAGGGAGTAGAGAGAGAGCCCAGTGGTTAAGAGCATTTGCTGTCTGTGTGCTGCGGTTCATTCTCTCTCTCCTCTCTCTCTCTCTCTCTCTCTCTCTCTCTCTCTCTCTCTCTCTCTCTCTCTCTCTCTCTCTCCCTCTCTCTCTCTTTCTCTCTCTAATACATAGTATGTTTAAATTATTTTAAATCCCCAGAATGCCTTCCTCCCCCA